TAATGTAAACACTACATATACTCTGACTAGCAGAGGAGTGATGGGAAGGAGGGAATAGTGTCCTGTATCATTCTGATAAAAGCCCTTGCCTATATATATATATATATATATATATATATATTGCAATATCCATCTTTGCTCGTTGCATTATTCCTGAATTGCTTTGCAGAACACTTACTGTATCTTTAAATCTCACTTTGGTATCTGGGCCACAGAGGAAGTGCTCTCGTTTTGGAGCTGCTGTGGTGAGGATGGTGAATGAAAATAAATCAGTTTGACATAATTTATGGATTAATTTAGCTTGTTAATGCACACACATGCACCAACACGCAGAGCTAATGTAGTTAATGGATGGATAAGAACACACGCCCCCCCCTTTTGACAAAAAAGACGTGCGCATACACGCAATCTGTATCATCTTTCAGATCCTGCAGAGGTCATAAAACATGGTTTTCTCATTTGGTTTCCCCTCCCCTTGTCTTTCAAGCCCTCCTTGTACACACACACATACACACACGCACACACATCACTCTACGGAGGGGTTGTGGGTCCACATTGAATGCACCCAATTACTTAGGCCCCCGCTCCTCTGGCTGCTGCATTACGTCAGGCTTGGCAGGCTGTATTTTTAGCTTGTAGATGCCATTGGCCCTCCCTCCCGCTCTCTCAGTGGATTGAGTTACCACCTTGTTGCTGAAAGAACCCAATGGACGCTTGTGGGAGCTGCCCTCGTCCAATCACAACACATCGAACCACTGCGTAATGACACAAGCGAGCAGAAGGAAAAGCTATGTCCATTAAAGTTTTGGCTGTGGGCGGGGACAAGGAAACAGTGAAGCAGGGGCCATTGAGGGAAAGTGAGCCCAGCAGCCACAGACTGCACGGTGGGCACGCACGCCGAGTCTGAAGACGTTTCTATAGAACATGGGCCCCGTCTCAGGTCGGTTAAATGAAATCCTTGCTTCCCTCACTTGCGTCGTTTCCCTGCGTCTAGTCCCTCCCACCAGGGAAGCATGGAGGGACGCAAGGAAACCACGAGAAGCAGGGAAATGAGTTTTAAGAGCAATGGGACGTCCTTTCCTCCAGAGCGTCACGTGAAGCGACATCCGTTTGTGATGACGCCGCACATCTGTTCGTCTGACAGCAGCTCTGGCCCCGTTATTTTCACAAACACCCCCGCCTATACATTTACTGACACAAACATTTGTATCATCTGTTGTAGAACCCAATAAATAAAAGAAAATAAGAACTCATTCTCAAAAAAGATAAACGCCATTCTTAAAATGTATAAACGAACAACAGTTTGATTAATATTGATTAGAGTGCACAAAATAAATAAAATAATTGAGAGAAGAAAAAGAGATATGCTATCTATCAAAACCCAGTTAGATTAACATTCATTGGACTGCACACTTTGTTTGTTTGGATATGTAGCAAATTAATATTTTAATAGCCCATAATGACTGACTGAATGGAAATGACAATAAATGAAAATATAAAACGAAAAAAGCGATCATGAAAAGGTTTCCAATAAATGAATAAAATGATTTTTGACCACTTTGTTGTTCAGATATATCACATATTTGTAACTAAATGATACTTGAATTGAAACAAAACACAGTTTAAACTGAGGAGTGACTCTCGTGAGTTTCATTTATTTTCTTCACTCTGGGAAACTGCTCTCATGTCAAGAAGCATGAGATCAGTGCATGCACTGCATCGTCCAATCAGTGAGCGATACACAGTAAGGGGGCGGGGCGAGTGTCTGAGGATTTCATCGGAGGATGGTCTGGTGGTTCCTCGATTATCGCTCCTCCATTATCGCTCCTCGCTCCTCCGGCAGAAATAAGAGCCATGGGACGGTACTCAAGATGGCGCAGACAAATCAACTTCCTGTGAGACCGAGGAGCGAGGAAATGAAAATAGTCGACCTGAGACAGGGCCATGGTCTGTGGTGCAGGCCTGAGAGCCAAATGTTAATGCTAGCAGTTTTGCATTTCTCCCAGACACCAGAAATGACCGGGTTGTAAGAGGAAAATCTGTGTGCAGAGTTATGAAAATATATTCCGGTCTATTTTCAATTTTCCTCTCCTCGCTCCCTCTCATTATTTCGACCTTTAATAGCTGCAGAGCACTTAAGGGAACCGTTTCTCTGATGGTAGCAATGAAGCTGTGTTCTGCACAGCTGAGGCATCAGAAGGCAGCGATGACAGCTAGACACCCCCCCCCCCCCCACACACAGGGTCTCAGAAAGAAAGCTTGGAATGTTTTCTCTCAAGCACCAAGTGTTGTTTATCCCCCCCGCAGTAAACAGTAAAAAAAACAACAGCTTGACAAACAACTCCTCCCCGAATCAATTCACACACTCCTGGGCCTCCACAATGGCATCTGCATTAAGATGCTGGGGGCCTCTCTTCTACTTTAAACTTTCCCCCCCGTCCTAATCACCAGTGTAATCTCTTCCTCATCCCCGTTTGCTTTCCTCACATCACAGCAGTCTTGTTTCCTGGTTTCAAGCAACCAATCTCATCCACTAATCCCTTCATTCAGTTGGAGACGGGATCAGCGGGAGAGTGTCAACAATGCACATGGAGCCCCTAAGCAAAGATAAGGTCAGGGAAAACAATGGCAGCACAAAAAAAAAACAAAAAACGGAGGGTCACTCAAGCTTTAGGTTACCATGGTGCCAAGCTGGTTGACAGATGGAGGAGGTCCACGTTAGCTTTTACGTTTTTTGACATTGTTGCCATCAGAATGAGAAGAAGCAATATGCATCAACCGCCATGTTGGTGTTGCATTCCTATAACAGCCGTGTATCAGAAAGTGATTGTTGTCCATTAGTTGCTTTGACCATGCTCGCTCATGTAACCCATGAATGTGATGTGTCGGAGATGCATTTAGATAATGTGCGCCCAGTCTTGAATACAAAGTAGATTTGTTTTTAATTAGACCCTTGGCCTGTTTTAAACCTCAGCAAGGCTCGGCATACATTTACACTTAATCAATTATTTGTAGACCTAAGCCATGGATATTTCTGTCATAAATTGGAAGATTGCCAAAAAGTTTGATAAATCGAGTACGGTAGTTATTTATTGTGTTATCTGGTTTAAGCCGCTCAAACATGAATGCTGTTTTCTCAGTTTTTCACAGTATATTAAATATTTTTAGGTTTTGGATGGTTGGTCAATATTCTCTTGTCATTTTGAGTGTTCAAAACATGTGATGGGTGTATTGCACTAATTCCTTTTCTAGCCCTACAGCAAAGTCCTACTGTAGGGTTGTTGACCTAATACATTTGAAGTATGAAGTCATGCCGAGATATAGCATTGAACTACTCAATACAGGCACATGTATACAACTTGCCTAAAGTTTGTAGTGGCTAACCCAGAAATATCATGTGCTATATATGGCATACAATGCGTTAAGTACATACAGTGTATATATACCATTATTGTCATTAGCTCACTGCTAATGTCAACCTTTTATTCTAAATCAGATGAAATGCCTTTAAAGACTCGTGCTGACACAGCAATATACACGTAGGTTGAAACAGTTCAGATAGAGTGCTTTTGTCTAAAGAATGACCGAGCAAACTGACATCTGGGCGCAGCGAGAGACCCAGATTGAGACGGAGGACAGGCTGGAGAAGCGATGAAGGGGTGTGTGGGAGGAGGAAATGAGACACCGCTTTGGGAAGTGCCTTCCAAGACTAATGCCGGAGTAAGGACGTCACTGCCCAAGGGGGGGGGGGGGGGGTTTGTTTGAAAGTATAATGGGCTAAAAACTCAACTATTATAGACTGCCAATGCCCATTACAATTGTAAACAGTATGGGGTTACAACAACAGTCAGATTTATATTCCTAACACAATCTCAAAAGTCAAGAGTCAAGTCTTTCAGCTGCTATTCATTTTGACCTGATTCAATATTTGGTTAGTTTTGAAATGTATGATACATACATAAGAAGTACGTGCTAAGGACATCTCTCTCTTTAAGTGTGTGAGATGATCCCTTTAAACTTTTGCTTTTGAAGGTATTGGCTTCTCTGCATTGCTCTTGTGATCTAGTGATCTGCAGAAACAGCTGCTTCTTGTTCCCTTAAATCCCTGTGGTTTTCACCTTCCCCTTGAAGTCAGACACATACACCATGAGACCACAGGTCCGTCCCCATTGTTTCAGAGCCCTGTGGGTCGAGAGCCTTGGACCTATGTGGGGTTTTGGGTGGCTTGTGTCTGCTTTAGAGGGATCACAGTAAGACTTTTGAACAAAGAGGGAGGTATGAACCTGATATCCCCAGAGTGTCACACAAACAGCCACGTCTTTCACACACACTGTCGTCTCCTCCCTCTCACTTTGACTTCACCGCCCCTGTGCAAACCTTTTTTGTCCCTCCCTAGCACCCCAAATGTGACCCTTTGCCCTAGAGGGACAGGTTTAGTGACCTCAGGTCAGTACAGTGTGATGGATACAGACGGAGTGCTCTAGTTACATTGGCCACAATATCTTCACCTTGCTGTAAATGGATACAGATTGTTACTAATATGGCAAAGATTCAAAGGTTTAAAGCATGGTTTAAAGGCGTTGTTGTCATATGCACAGTAACTACAATGTAGTCCCAGGCTCCTCCAATAATGCCACATGAATATATATAAGACATAAAAACAATAAAACTAAATGAAAAAACAATAAAAGTAGTGCAAGAGAGAATAATAAAATGTTGCAAGTTATACAGAAGTAATAAACTCTATACATGTCAAAAAAGCTATGATAAGCTGAATGTTGCAGAGAATGTTGTCAGTGACCAAGTAAATGCAGTACATGTAAATATAATATGATAAACAAGAACATAATGAAATACTGTACAGTCAAATGAAATACTGTTGCTAATGTAGTTATCCAATATAATGCAAGTAAAACACTGCTTTGTTATTTTCTGTCTTTCTATTTGAGACTTTGCATTACCAAAACTCATCCGCTCCACTCTTTTCTTCCCCTGTGTAGACGTGAAGAAGGACTGGTCAGACCATGCTTTGTGGTGGGAGAAGAAGAAGACATGGCTGTTGAAAACCCACTGGACGTTGGACAAGTACGGCATCCAGGCCGACGCCAGGCTGCTTTTCACGCCGCAGCACAAGCTTCTGCGCCTCCAGCTGCCCAACATGAAGCACATGAAGGTCAAGGTCAACTTCTCCGACCGCGTCTTCAAGGCCGTGTCCGACATCTGCAAAACCTTCAGTAAGTGGAACGACTGACACATTCACAGGACATCTGGCGAGTAACTTTAATAACTTTAGCTGAGATGTGGAAAACAGTCATGAAGTCAATGAGAGATGAGGTGTGACGGATTGGCAAAAGGTTATGGGAAAGAGTGTAGAATAAGTGTTCAGTTTACTAGGCGCTACTGAAGGTGCCCACCCTGCTCAACCAAAAACATCTCCTGCAAGACTATTTTTGGAAATGTTCTACATCAAACATGGCTAATCATGTCCTTCCCCTCACTTTGTTTTTATCCCTGGCAATTTGCTGTTTATTAAACACTGAGCTCAGCAGGCTGGAGTCACGTCTCCTGGCTGGCAGTCCTCTGTTAGGAGTCGTGTTCTTTGGACCTGGGCTCCATCAGTCTTACAGTAGTGTTTAGTAAACAGAGATTATCAATCTGTCTCAGACTTACAACAAAAGCAGACTCCAAAATACAACTTGATGTGTATGTAAATAATATGGGCTATCTTCACAATGCAAGCCCGAGTTCTCAATTCTATCTATTGCTTGGATCCAAACAGAACCTGAACTGACCCTCCTGTGCAAAACAGCAATAACACAGATGCCACAGCCACGCTACCCTTTGGATTGTCAGTGCTTACGGTTTCAGTTGTATTTGATGTGCAGTAAAAGTCAGTGTATTTGTGAGCAGATGTTGACAAGGATGAGGAAAAAGTGCCTTTTTTGTAAGGGACCGTGTGGATACAGAGTCAGAGCCAGGATTGGTTGGACCTTACTTATTCAGGATGTCAAGGGCTACTTTTACTGCATTGGTCTGTGTCTCACAGAGGTGGCGCTAGACTTTTTCGCTGTCCGTCCTTTTGACGGACAGGATCGTAACATTTCCGTCAAAATCCATTATTACCCGTCGGTCTGTACACAACTCTGGCGGGGGCTTGTGAACTGTCAACGGAGGGAGGGGGGGGGGCGCGCGCGCTCACGCTCACTCGCTCGTGAACTGTTAGCGCCGTGTTATGCATGCCCACTGCACCTCGCGGGAGACCGCACAGCGTAAAGCAAAAACTCAGACATTTCAATGATTCGTACGGGAAAGTACGGTTTGGAAACGATATCATTTCCTTTTTGGCGGGCATGCATAACACGGCATAACACCGGAGCCTCGCTGCGGGGACATTTTGGCGCTGTTCCGAGTTTGTTCTAATCTGTCAAAATGAAGGACTGCTTTCAGATTTTTCCGTCACTGTTAAAAAAGATCCGTCATAGACGGAAAATATTCGGTTAACGCGACCACTGGTGCCTCATCACAAGAGACTCCCGCCAGCATTCAACAATTGTAACAGATCTTGACCTAAAATACATAAAAGTAACATTAATTCCAACATGACTGGTCAAACTGAGATTGCATTGCAAAAGCTGATAACCAACCTGTATCTGATTTAAATCATTTGAAAATATCAGATTTACACATCATGCTGCGTTTTTGGCTAACTTTTGCCTGCAGGCTCTACATAGTTATACTCTTTGCTCTCTGTCTTGCTTACCCAGCATCTCTCCACTAATAACACGTCCAAATGTAACTGTCCCCTAATGTGTAAGTAGGGTGACATACACACCATCGATACCTACCATCACTGGCACCACGAAGCCCAGTCGACGTGTCAGGTCACACACACCGTGACCTCTGAACTCTTCCTCGGCTCAGACTGTGACCCTTGCCCTGCCTTCACTGTCTCCAGTAGAGTTGGCAGATTTGGAGAAGCGACACCAATATAAATCCCTGCAGGGTCATAGCACACCTGTTGTCTTTTTCACTGGTCTGGGTTCAGCAGGCAGGACCAGAAGCTCCAGTGGTTTTTCATTTTTCCAGAAGGATTCTTGGGTCAAAAGACTAAATTCTATGAAATAAAAAGAGCAAATAGCACATTTAATTTAGTGTAAATATACAAAGAGACTGTTTTTGAAATCTAAGACAGGGAGGTGAGGGAGAAATTGGCATGCAGTCTTTCATTCCTTGTTAGGAATGTGTCTGATTCTTCTGGAATAAATCAATTTTTAATCTTTGTAGAAATTCAGGACAAATTGCTTTTAGCTGACATGGCACGTGCACAGAAGTTGTGAGATGTACGGTGGCAGTAAATGACCCATTAGTTTGACATGCTTTAACTGTTGTGTTTCTATATCACTGTGCACTAATGCATGCCTAAAGCAGAACCGGAAAGTTCTTTACTGTAACTGTTCGTATGACAGCTGACATATAGCCGCTCTGACCTGGAAGCATTCATCGTTATCTGGGAAACTTTGAGTTGTACAATTGCCTGTGCATTTTTCTTCTGCCGAATCCCTGAGAGCTGCACTGCATAGAAAATCAGACGGGACAGGAAGAGACGAGGCCTGTCACCCTGGCCTTCGCTCCAGACAGCAGAAAGGGAGGGGCGGAGATACTGAGAGATAGGAACAGAAAGAGAATGTCAGTGGAGATTTTGTTTTTAGTGACGTGCAACTCACCTTTGGCCCAGTCTTTTTCCCCATACTAATTTATTTGGATGTATTTTTAATTTTGCTGTGGCGTGTCCGGTCTGATAGTAACATAGAAGCTATTTCCTGTTCCAAGTTTAGTTCTCATTATAGTTTATAGCTGTCTTTGTCCTCACCCCTGCATAGTTAAGAATGATAGCCCTTAAACATCTCTCTGCTCTTTTTTATATTACAGTATGCTTTTCCTTTTCTACTTTGTCTGCTTTTCTATCTCTTTAGCACAACTCCAACCCTTGACAGTACATACAGTACAGTGGAAAAGCATAGAAAATCAACATAACACCCCAAGTTAAAAGTATAAAACCGATTATCTCCGCTGTACTTTTCCCATGTCCACGGCAGCTGTGTCCTGACACAGACTCAGTCCATCAGGCTGGGAACCGAGAGGACTCAGCAAAAAGCCGTTGTACTGAATGGAAATCACTCAGTTTCACTCCTGTTATGACCCTTGAGTACATTTGGCAGCTCATACATCCTATGCTGCACTGCTCATTTGATAGTGAAGCAAAAGCATTTGGGATTTTTCCACTTTTAGTTGCAAGAAAACCTTTTTAACTGCGTCAACAACTCTCTGAACACCAGCATTGTAGTTCCTTTCTTTGTGTTAAGGATGTATCAACTATAGTGATGAAATGTGTTTTGTAGTGAAACGGCAATTAACAATACAGTTTTTTCGCAGTATGCTTTAGGGCTACAAGTGATTATTTTCCTTTTAACGATTAGGCTTTGTCAGAAAATTATGAAAAATGCCTGTTAAATTCTCTATAAATGATCTTTTAATGGCTGGCTATCCAACCGACAGTTGAAAGCCCAAATAAATTAAGTTCCAGACATGAGCTTGTCCCGTCTAGACAACCTGGACTCACTTCCAACACATTAAACACACTCGTACACCTCCTCCCTCTGTTTCTGTTTTACTCTTCTTGCAAAGCCAGCACACAAAATGTACTTTTCACAAGTGACTAACACATGATCGTGGGACGGTGGGCCTGAGGTGGGACAAAAAGTAGGCTGCAGCACTTCAGGGTAACCAGAGTCAGGCTGAGCCACTGTGGTTTTTTTTAGTAAGCACTCCTTTGCTACCATGTGTGGGAGTCCAACATTCTCTGGAATATGCAGCAATGTAACTGTTGCCATTTGTTAGCACCGAAACCCTAGAATGAGTCAAATACATAACTAATGGATGCCCAGACAGGAAAGGAAAGTGGCTGAGAGGATGTATGTCAATAAGGCGGGACATAAGTAAGTACAACTTTATTTATATAGCACCCTTCTCAACACGGATGTACAAAGTGCTTTACAGTACAGTACACAATTCAAATTACAACTATACAATGTAGAATAAAAGGCATAAAACAGCAGCAGGTAATACATAGGAGAAAACATACGATAAAACACCAATAAAAGACAGCTACTAACTCACCTCCCCCGACGACCCAAAGGCCTGTCGGAAAAGGTGGGTCTTTAACTGCCCCTTAAAAATCTCTATTGAGGCAGAGGTTTTTATTATCTGGGGGAGTTTGTTCCAAAACCTTGGGGCCACCACCTCAAAGGCACGGTCCCCCTTAGTCTTTAGCCTGGTTCGGGGCACCCTCAGGAGGCCTTGCTCAGAGGACCTCAGGGCCCGGTTTGTGATGTGAGGGTGGATCAGGGGCCTCATTTATAACGCCATGTGTATGATTCACGTGGGAAGGTTGTTTACGTAGTAGAAATCCAAAAAATAGGTACAGAAATGTTCCGACATTTTCCGATTCACCAAACATTGGTACCGGCGAGGAAAGTGCGTACAGCACTTCCTATGCCGGTTTCCCTTTATAAATCACAATCGCCACGAAATGCGGTGCAGCTTTTGCGGGCTTCACGTAACACCCATATTTGCCTATAAATAGTCAAAGAAACGCCCATTCATTCATTCATTTTGACTGACTTTATGAAGAAGATCGCAGGAAATGACGACAGAACAGCTAAAAAAGACATCTCACACCGTGTCAGATTTTGGTTATTGTGGGGAGGTCGAGATAAATCATATTGTTTGGTGGATGCAGTTTGAACCAGAGTAGCAGCATGGAGGTCGGATCGTCACCAAAATAAATAAATAAGTGGTCCGAAAAAGGTTAATGACAAAAAAAATACACATGGCCTTCCTCAGGCAGTGTGTTTGTACCGGGGACAGGAGACACCCCCTTGATGAGAAACTGTAAGAAGTGAACGGGGAATCCCTCCGGAGTGGAGTCATGACGACTGGATCTGAATTATGTTTTTGTATTTGGTGGTTTGTGTTCCAGCTGTCGATCAGCTGTGCGCAGCGTCTCCACTGCAGCAACTCTATATCCACCAGTTAAAGGAAATACAACTAATGTGTTGTGTTATATTAGCTGTACAATTTACCACATGTGGTGTTCTTAGTTTCCATACCTCCTGTGTTTTATGAGCGACTTATCAAGTCTTAGCAAACGGCATAAAACATGATTAAACATGGTAGTATATAAAACCATGCTCGTACAATCTATAGAAATGCAAAACCGCATCATTTATGAGAAAACATTTCATAACATTAACACAACATATTCGAGGTGGTTTTAAATAACATATCCGTATTTATTTATTTCTCCAAGTTATGTTTTTGTGTGCACTGAGGAGTCTCAAACAGGCTTTTGTTTAATCATTTTAAGATTGGCTTTAATCAATGTTTGAAAATGAATTCTTCATATATGATAAATGAGAGGTAACATTTTATTTATGGTATTATTTCCACATATTTCTCTCCATTCTTCCTTCTGCCAACGGTGTCGCAGTTTCTCGTCTCTCCCGTTTTTGTGCTTAGTGCGTACGCATGGGTTAGAGTTTGCGTGGAGGACCGCACATTTTCCCGTCAAATTAGTATTTTATAAATCGCAAACATAGCGTAGAAACTGGCGTACGCCATTTTTTGAGCGTATATCCCTTTATAAATGAGGCCCCTGGTCATCGATGTAGGCTGGGGCTTGGCCATGGACAGCTCTATATGTGAAGACCAATACTTTGAATTGGGTTCTGAGATGGACAGGGAGCCAGTGCAGGGCAGAAAGAATCCGAGTGATGTGGCATGTTTCTTTGGACCGAGTGAGTAATCTGGCTGCAGCATTTTGGACCTGTTGTAACCGGTTTATTGATGTTTTGTTGAGGCAGGAGAACAGAGCATTACACTAATCAAGCCGGGATGAAATAAAGGCATGGATAGCCATCTCCATTTCTGCGTTGGATAGAACCCCCCTGAGCTTGGCAATATACATACAGAACTCAGGAGTTTGCTGACGGTTGAGAATCGCAGAGACATGTTTTGTCTTTGTTCTCGAGAACGATTTTTCGATTTGTGTGGGACTGTTTCTTCATCATTTTGGTCCAGCAGAGTTATGGCACATCAACCTGTGGTCTGCCTGGCTGGCCCCGAGTGAGCTGGCCCCTGTTGTCATAACACATGAGGAGTCTCTGCCTCAGCGCCAACCCTTCAATTGAAGCACAACTTTTGCCTTTTTGAGTATCCTTTTAGCACCTTTTAGCCCCCTGTCTGATTGGTGAAAAGGACCCCTTGACACTAAGCAGATAAGGTCAACTTATGAGTTGTTTCTTTTGAGTTATAGCCAGAAATAGTAACTCTAGTGTATCTAATTGACAATCCTAACTTTTTTGAAGGCTACAAATCAAACTCATCTCTCAAATAAAATTCATAAAGCGCAGAATATCCACACCATGTACTCCACTTGATGAAACACAGATAGAACTGTGTTTTTAAATGTTTGTTTTACTATTATGTATGCACCACAACATCAAGTCAGATTCCTCGTACCTGGTAATGAACCTGTTTCTGATTCTGATTCATATTATTTTCTGTTTCCCATCAGACTGAGAGTGAGTTACCGCTTGTTTTAATTAGTCCGAACAACTACTTGATTTATTGCTCTTGACTATTGATCCGTCAGCCTCACTAGATCTATTCATCACATTAAGAAAAATGCAGGGGGAAACTGAAGGTGAAATCCTTCATCTTTCATTTGTTTTGTCCATGTAGGGTCTCAAAGTGTTTGTACGGTAAACTTTAGCGCTGTAAAATTAGACTGTGACGGTGTTTGTGATTCTTCTGCGGCTGGCCTTACTCACTGCAGTGAATCATGTGTTCCAAGGAGTGGATCTGGAGCCCAGCTGGCTCCCAGTCAACACCTCTCCTCTGGCTCCGTTCCTGGATCCTGCCACATGTCTGCAGGATGGAGGATTGGGGTCTTTTTGTCTAAGGTGTCATTTCTAATGGAAATAAACCAGGATTGTGTAAGCACTCCATCCATCACTCACCCTTCCTCCTCCCCCCTGACACCGGCCACAAGTATGTGGTGAGTGGAGGAGCAGTCTCTCCCACCAGATCATGATTCTTAAATGATCACCATAAACATCCACTTCAACACTCAATTCAAGTATGTTAGTATAAATTGACTTTAACACTTTTCCATCTGAAAAATACTGGTGGAGCATTTTTTTGTATTTCCCCTTAGCCTGATTTCTTCACACTTATCTCAATGTTTGCTGTTATTCATACTTTAGCAGACATGGAATCTCTATCATATTGACTACACCTCTACTCCCTTCATAGGAATGATACAAAACAGTCAACTCATTAAAGCCACCAGCCCTTTTCCCACGCCTCTGCTTTCCAGGCAATTCAGTAGAGAAAAAATGCTACCTTTTTAACGAGAAAAATTCCCTCTAATGTATGAGAACGTAGCTTTTTACCTTATTGAATTGTGGTGTCATGGAGATTTTGTGACAAACCATTGTCTTTTGCGCCAAAATGTTGATATATAGAGGGTTTTATACATTATTCGTAGATATTGAAGCAGAAAAGTGCCATTGTAGTTAAACGCCACATGCCTCTACGGCAGTAGTGTGACAGTTTGATACTCACTCTCTGTGTGTATTGGCCTCCTCTCGCAGCTCAGTGGGGTTAAAGCTCGGCAGCACGCCTGCTACTCACATGGCTGTATAAGGGCACAGGGATTGCGCCTCACCGCTGCAGCAGAGCGAGAACGAAGTCAAACTGAGGCAGGCAGAGAGAGAGAAGGAGAGAGGGTGAGCTCCCATCTGGTAGTTCTTAAAACTCCTGGAATGCTTTTGCTTTAGTTACACAAACCAAACAAGCTTTCTCACCAAGCGAGTACGTTCTCCCCCCCCCCGAGAGTGCTTGTGCTCCCCTCAACACCATCAGCTACCTCTTCAATCAGTCTGCAACACCTTTCAAATCCTTCATCTTTAAAATGATTTAATGCAGGGGATATGAATAAATGAAAAAAGTAATGTCAGCAGATGTGCTCGAAACAAAGTGAGATTAATATATAAAAAAGGCCTTCAAATATCATTTAGCTTAATTGATTTATGTAGAATCTGCATAGCTGGATTGAAAACCGTATCCAGCTGAGGATCCAGATGTGCTTCCAGACCGATCCCATCCATTGTGCTCCCGACACATCCTGGCCGTCTCACCGCTACGTCAGAACCATCCCAAGCCCATCTTAAAACATCAGTGCTGCCGAGTGATGGTTCCCTGGCCTCCGAGCCCCAGGGATGGAGGGGAGAGAGCCGCTCTGCTTTACTCATTATATCCACTGTACTGTATCTTACTGTCTGATTGAGACCTTGCTCACGGCACACACAATGTTAGGGAGTGGTTCTTTATTTCATTTACAGTAGCATTATCTTCACTTTTGGTGTTTTTGTGAGAGCTGTGCAATCCTAATACCCGCCAGAAGCAGCTGAAAAGTGTTTTTATGTGGGAGAGGAATGGTAGGAGGGAGGCGGGTGATATGGAGATAGAGGTAATGTCTGCCCTGTCTCAGTTTGGGATTACAGTTAAAGCAAGATTTGTTGGGGCCCTGAGAAAAGGGATCTGCAATGTTCCACCACTCGTGTGCACAGCTGTCTACAATTCATTTCTGACACATCTCCTCAGTCCCTTTGCTTTTTCTCCCCCTTTTCCATGAAGTCACTTTATCGGCTTATATTCTACGCATCATTTGTGAGGTTTTATTGGAATTCTATAGTTGAAACGACACAAATTACTGTATGTTTTTGGTGTGTTAGTGTTGTCCTTAGCGGCTTGGCTTTGTTGTGAGGCAAGCTTATGTTTATCTGACATCAAACAAACCTTCTTGCTCTCCTTCCCTCCAGATATCCGCCACCCAGAGGAGCTATCTCTACTGCGTAAGCCCCGTGATCCCAAGAAGAAGAAGAAAAAGTTGGAGGAGGCAGAGGAGGACGATCTGGAGCTGGAGGGTCCGCTGTTAACCCCTGGATCAGGTGAGCAGTGACTCTTACATGGTCTCATAATCTTTGTTGAAATATAAAAGATTTAACCAAGGAGTTGAAATTCTGCAAACTAAAGTCAGTTCCTTTTAGGTTAAAGGTGAACTTTGGAGTAGCTATGGAGCACTGGGTTTTATTTGTATACATTGTCAAAAGCAATAATTTAGTTTCCCTCAAGCAGCAGGTTGATAACAGGTTCTTCTGGCTGCTATGGAGCGTCCTCCAGTCTTTTTTCTTCATGTCTAATTGCGCCGGTGGTTTAGAAAAACCCACTAAGATAACTCCAGTTTGCTGCACCCTGCCTGAAGTGACCAAATATGAATGTGTGAGTTTACACGCCTGCTTGGGATCCACAGCCCTGGCTTCCAATTCCTTGGCAGGGAGGACGAAGAATGGTTGAGATTCCACACATAGTTGGTCACGCTGCCATTTTAAACCCAAACCAGGCAACACGACTACCGTTAGAGCAGCCCTCCTCCCTCCTCCACAGATGGGAGAGCCATGTGAGCAGGAAGGAACAGAACAGGCTGTGCTCCTGTCACACAGTTAGCATTACCCAAAAACTGCTAACGCTAAGAGACAGGATGAATGGGACCCATTGTGTGGATCGAGTCTCTTCTGCCCCGGCCTCTGTCTGTCCGTCCACTGGCTCCTTAGACTCCGTTCAACATGCGTATACACACTGATGTGAGTGGAAAGAAAGCAGAACATCGTTGTGGACTTGTTGAAGCGTTCTCACAACAAAGAAAGTGTAAATCTTCTCATTTGCTTCACTGTGTATCTAACAGCAGATGATGTATTCGCCGTATTTGTCGTGACAAACGCACCCAAAGTTGCATCATCACATTTCAAGGGCGTGCCACATTACCGCCTCCAGTACAGATGTGTTTTGTATTCAGCGGGTCACACTGTTGTGCAGAGAAACGGTTTCAACAGGAATGTGCAGAATCTGTTGACTGTCACCAGTCTCTCGTGTGTCTCCCTTGTGAGTAAGTGCACACACACACACTTACTTCCTGTATCCTCCCTATCGGATCAGATCACATGCTACAGTCAGAGAGGGTAGTTCATGGCCAAGTTGTAAGACGTTATTCCGTCCCATGTGGGGAAGGGCTGCTGGGTCATATCTCCTGATAGGAATCACAAGGTTTTCAGAGAGGAAGCGATGCAATCAGAATCAAAGCGTTCTCATGTGCAGCTAACTGAGGGGAGGAGTCACTACATCTCACCATGGTCTAATGAGTTATTTTCATAATTGTTAAGGTTACTTTTATAAGCACATATTGGCCAAACTTTCCCCGAATCGAGATTTTCAAATGAGAATAAGATTCAACACTTTTAGTGTGATAGTAAACTCAATCTCAGTTGTTGGTGGGATTAGTCATTTGAAAACATCCGCTTAGATATTACAATCCGCTAATATTGTATAGACTAAATGATTGAGTATATAGTTAGTAGATTATTCCATCAGGAAAAGAATTGTCAGCGGTTTACCTCAGCTTTTAAGGGGCCTTTTGCATTTGCGTCACCATCTTTGGAATAGATAATACTTTTAAAATACATTTAAAACGTATTCCTTGTATAGTAGCTTAGACACACGCAGTATGTATTCTCTACAGTCAGGTCCACACTGACCTCAGAAGCAAATAACATGGTGAACACCAAGGTTATACGAGTACATGACGACCAATTATTTTTATTTAAAGGCTGACAATCTTTTTCCAAAACCTCAACCTCTATCTTTAAATATATCATTTAGGAAACTCCACGTCCCCTGTCTGTCGGGACATATATGCAAAGTGCCTCACAAAGTTGCTCATTTAATCCTTTACTGCTGTCATGACTCAGAGAAAGAGCCATGGTGATGCCATCATGCCAGTCCACGAGTCCCCTCGGGGCCCTCCACAAGTTGAAGTGCATGCTGTATCTAATTATGCATCCTGTCCACGTGGAGAACATACCTCAGAGAGCCAGTACTTTAAGATATGTGCTGCAGACTATACATGCATGGCTGGGTCACGTTGACCCGCGCCTAGTGCTGCACGATTCTTGCTCAAATGTGAATCACGATTTTCCTCCATAAGAATTGAGATCACGATTCTCATCGTTTCAATGAAAATATTTATTGCACTCTTACTCTTAGACGTCACGTGAGTACAATGAATTTAAACAGACAACATTTGTCTCTCTTGTAACAAAAACATAACTTTGTCTTTAGTCTGTAGTTGCTGAATACTGAACAAACATTACTACATTCAAAATGTGGCACCTGGAGCCAACTATTGTGGCTTTAAACAGACACCATCAACATCAAAGTGCTTGACTTAAATCCAAGTCTCAGTTTCTTGTATCAAAAACATAGAGTAACTAAAATGAATTTGACAGCCAACTACTGTGGCTTTAAACAAAGTGCTTGACTTAAACTCAAGTCTCTCTGGTAACAAAACATACAGTAACTAAAATAAAGATATTGCTGCTGCCTGAGTGCTGAACATAAAAAATTGAATTTTTGCAGCTTTATAATAACAAAATGTAAACTTTGCAGTAGCACCTGTCCACAGTGACAGGACACCCAACTACTGTACAACAACACCAACCTGTTTGTTACAGGGAGGAATGCACTTAAGTTACTCAAAATACCTCACCACGGTGCTGAATATAAAAACAAAACAGTCACAGCTTTAGAATAATAATATTTAAAAAAGCCTAGCCGGCTAGCACCCAGTTCAACTACTGCACTTAAAGGTTCTTGTACTGAAAAAAACATAAACTTAAACAAAGTGCTAGACTCCACTGAGTAGTAATGTCACTGAATCAAAAGGATTAACTTAAATACTGCAGTCAGTACTGAATATAAAAACGGAACAGAACATAAAGTTACAGCTTCAGAATAAATGTAAATAAAGCCTAGCTGCCTAGCTACTAGCACAGTCCATCTACTTTTTTCGGCACAAGCACAACTTTCCTCTCACTCTTGCCAGAGTCGCCACCGGGATTTTCATCGGTGTTGTTGTCATTGTCCTCGACCTCCTCGTCACTCATTTCTGTTTTTCTTGTACTACTAGTCGCTCTCGTCACTCTTTGCTAATCAGTGCTAATGCTAACGCTTCTGTAAACATACTGCCGGCTCCTGCCCTCACGTGCTGCATGCAGTCAGTGAGTGTTGCCAGGTATACTTATTATAAGCCACATTGGGCTTATTTTTCTGTAAAGTTGCTTGGTAGTAAGTAATAATGGTTGTGAGCTTGTAGATAGGTTATTTTCAAATAGCCGACCCGACATATATAGGTTTAAAGTGCTCATGTTCTTTTGCGCTTGTTTTCATAGACCTGGTTGCTTATTCCTTTCGCAAAAACTGGCAACACTAGTGGCTGCAGCGTTAACACTGTATGAGAGGAGGAGAGACAGAACACTACCATTTGCATGCGATCATGGTACTTTAATGTTAAATGTATAGAGTATATTTGCTTTACATCGTTTAAGTATGATTGACATTGCAAGTTGGTATTATTCAGAAGCAAAAAAAAAAAAAATCAAAAAAATAATATCAGCATGACGTCATAGGATCGCCGTAATTTAGAAATGAGATCGCATAGGTGTCTGAATCGAGATCACGATCTTTTTTCGATTAATCGTGCAGCACTACCCGCGCCTTGCCTGGGTTTTCAATCAGTCATGCTGTGTCAGAAGGCTATGAATAGGATGGAAACGACTGAACCTCACTAGTCATTTCAGGGTGATCCACTCTGCAAAGAGGGTAAACTGAGTCATCCACTCTGTGGCTAACAGCTGGCAGTAACCATGGAAATGCCCCGGATCTCCCCAGTTTTGAATGTCTTTACTTTTGTCTTTTCTTTTCTGTTTCCTCCTGTCCTTGTTTGGTTTTAACTATCTGTCCACTTTATGTTGTTTGTTCCCATTCCACTTCTTCCCTCTACCTCTTTCCTGTCTTTCTTCCTCTTACTATTTTTCTTTTCATCCTAGCCTCTGAGGTAATATACATCGGACCTGTCAAAGGTAAGCTTTCCTCTTCCTCTGTCCTTTACTCTTCAGCACCGCTCACCCTCGCCTTCCCCTTCCTCTTTACCCCCCACGGCTGGAGTGTTGAGGCCACATGAGATCTGTAACCTTTTGAACCAGCAACCAAGTCACCTGACTGCTCTTCCAGAGGAAGTCAGCTGATTTGTGCAGTCACATGATCAAGGCTTTGCCTCTCATTAGAAATTAGCTCAAAGCTCACTTTTTATTTCAGCTTCCCCAGGCCTGCTCACACTGTGTCTGCTGACTGTTTTTAATAGCAGTATTGCTGATCACTTTTAGCCCTTTAATGAGATAGTCATGATGAGTTATATGATATGATATTATTTGTAGTGTTTTTTTGTTCTTTTTCAAAATCAGAACAGTGATGATTATTGGGCAATGATACAACATACATGCCACAACCAACAGCCCACACAGAAACTTTGTGTAAGTATCAAATCCACAAGAGACATTTTTATTTATTGACAAACCTCTCCTGGTCTACTTCTAGTCTTAACAGCCCATGGTGGTCCAGCTCCATCTATATAAGCCCTATGAATCCCTAGTGTGGGAGCATTAGGGAGTACAGCCATGTTAACATTCTTCGTGCCTTTTCGCCTGCGTTGGAGAGTCCATAAACAGGATGGAGGAAGCCTAGCTGTATTTTTAATGGGCTGCCAGCTTTCACCTTATACATGGTCTCTCTGGATATTTGGGATTCCTCTGGAGACCCCTTGGGAGACGGAAGTACTCTCTCTGACCTGATGCACTCTGCATTATGGAAAAACCGTGAAAGAAACCCTGAATAACCCCCTCCCCCACAAGGGATGCATGGCCATAGCCTGCACCCCGTTCTCATGACCTCAGCTCGCAAACACAAACATTCACGCGCACACTCACACACTTCCTGATTTCAGACGGGATTTAGTGGTTTAGCCAGTGTTGCTTCTTGACCTAGGCCACACAGAAGGAGAGAGAGAATGCGAGGGTAAGGGGCCAAAAATACTCCCACAAGGCCAGCCAACAGGAAATGCAAACAGCTTCACTCTGGAGCCAAAACTCAGACTAATTAAAGACTAATAGGAAAAATCCAAAATATACAAATATATTAACATTTCAATAATTGAGAGTGGAAAAAAAACAATGATGTGGCTGATTATTTTACAATCTTACATGTTTTTGTTATTATCCATGTATCCTCCCATATCTTAGCTTCCCCTCTCTCCTCTCTGTGGTCATTTGTGCAGTAGTTTGCTGTGTGCAGTGCATTCCTGCAAGTTTTTAAACTGTGAGTAAGTGGGTGACCCTGAACAAGGTCTGCGTCATCTGCATGCTGGTCCACATCAACCATCAGCAGGAGAACATGGTTGAAGCCACTCATCTGCAGAGTGTGGGCTGGTAGTCACATGGTGTGTTGACCGCTAGCTGGCCTCGCTAGGCTGCAAGTGTGTGTGCTTTTTGAAAAGTGTTCACTCCTTTTCCATCTGATGCTTTTGTTGTTGATGTACAGTATTTGTGAATGTGCAATTTGTGCTTTGACATGGGAGTGTTCATTAGTGTCAGTGTGAGACAACAGTTTTATTAGTTATATTTGAATGAAAATGTGCTATAAGGGACTAACTGATGACTGTGTGTTTTCAGGGAGCATCTACTCCAGCCCAGGCCTGTACAGTAAGACGATGACCCCCACCTATGACTCCAGAGACGGCAGCCCGCTGTCGCCCACCACCGCCTGGTTTGGGGACAGCCCCCTCTCTGAGGGAAACCCCAGCATCCTCGCTGTGAGCCAGCCCATCTCCTCACCAGACATCCTGGCCAAACTCTACAAGCACCAGTCTCTGCTGGATAAAGCCAAAATCAACCAGGGGTGAGAGGACTGTCTGTAGTGGTTGGGGGGCTTGGTTACATTTAATATAGTCAGAACTGCTATGTCAGCTCATTCAAATAGTCCAAAGATGTCTAAAACAACATGTTTCACTCTGTACAGGTGGTTGGACTCATCCAGGTCTCTGATGGAGCAGGATGTAAAGGAGAATGAGGTGCTGCTGCTGAGGTTTAAATACCACAGTTTCTTTGACCTCAACCCTAAGGTACGTCCCAAAGACAATGAAGTCCAATTTTACCTTATTGACAGAATCCCTGAGGACATTTAAAAAGGGCATGGTGTGCCAGAAAGATGATATCTTGTCATGAGTGGAAAGCAGACATGTTCCCATTTACCACATACATTTTCTCTTTGGTTGGTTCACAAAAATCCTGTTGTGTCCTCTGTGTATCAGAGAGTGAAAGAGCTTGCGAGTGTGTTTCCCTACTGTTAGTTTATATGCATGTGTTAACCTCTGTGACAAACCTCTCCACAGTATGATGCCATCCGAGTGAACCAGCTCTATGAACAGTCTAAGTGGGCCATCCTGCTGGAGGAAATTGAGTGCACAGAGGAGGAAATGATGATGTTTGCTGCCCTGCAGGTAAATAGGCTGTTTGTTTACATGTGTGTGTTTCTGTGTGTGTGCCTCATTTACATGTTTCCCGTTTCAGCATTTGTTGGAAAGGGTCTGAAATCTGAAGACCTGCAGTCCTCTTTTCATTGGGAAATGGGCACATTGCCTACTCAACCGCACGCTAATGAATTGCATGGGCTTCCACCCAAAGTTGAGACATATGGCTACCAGTTCTGCTGCACGCACACAAAAACTTGGCTATTGCACAATGGTGCAGAATGAGTTCATGGGGGCCGTATCTTCACACATATTCCCACTGCGCTTCTCTGTATGCCTCAATACTAATTAATTCCCTTTATCAATTACTCATAGTTCATAAAGAACATTTAATTATTAGGCTTTGAACCCTCCTGTTGACTGGGAACACCAAAGTAAGGGGGGCAAAACAAACACAACAGGAGGGTTAAACTAAAAAAATCTCTCGTGATGGGAAACTATAATTAACTTGAAAGACCTTAATGCATAACCCTTGCTTGACTTAACAGAATTAAATGTCACCTAGCAACAAGGTCAGGTGAGGAATGAAACAAAATGTGATTTTTAAATATCATATTTCTTTTTTTTCAATTTTCATAAATGTTCTTGTCAATAAACAATCACCTAATGAAGCCCCAAAAATATATTCTTCCAACACTGAATCTTCTCTCTCATACTAAGGGATTTCAAGCGTGTTTGTATTCTGGGCCAGCTTTATGTGACTGAGTAACCTTGAGGCCACTTGCTGCAGCCTCTCACACAGAGCTGATATGGCCTGGACTTTAGAGCCTCTGAAAGCCTCAGACTCACACTTATCACTCTTTTAAACGTAGATCAAGAGGAGGATAAATGTGGATCAGTGGGAGTGATATACAGATGTGAGCCCCTTTTAGTCAGGTATCCCCTGTAGTCTGGGGGTGGTGGCCCTGCTATTTCTGACCCTCATAAACTGTGTGTGCCGAGACCTGAGGACGCCACCCTGTCCTCACCCCCAGGGTAATTATAGAGCCTCTTGGGCCACAGGACCCAGGCCCAGACCACCCACCCCCAGCAAGACACCACCTCATAGACCTGCTCACATTCCTCTAAAAGCCGTGTTACACTGTGAGGTGTTAGGTGTGTCATCAGATCGGATATAATTACACTTAACTGGTTTCTTGTTACTCTTCCTGACAGAGATGCTAATCCGAGTTGGGTGTTTAGACTGGAAGCTACTCTGTCGCTACCTGTCTGTTAGCACTACTATGTTTCAGCTGGGCAGCATGAGCTCAGGGCTTTTGGCTATGGTTTCACCGGGGAGAGTGGATAGACAGGGTCTAAAAAAAGAGCAATGATTGTCCACATCCAGTATGTTACTGGCTTGTGTTAGCATGCCATCACCTGGACGTTTTGCTTTGGCCGTACTTAGAAATGACATCATCAGGATTCAAGAACGGTAACAAACTTCAGTGTCACCAAATTTGGGCACAGGTTGTACTTTTTTCCTCAGCAGATAAACACGTACACTCGTCACACAAACCCGAAACCAGCTCCAAAGCGAAGCAGATTTTTAAAAAGGATGTCGGTGCGAAAGAGGAGAAGAAACAGAGTGTCATGGCGAGCCCTTTGTCCCACATTCTGTAACCTTAGCTCAGCTAAAGCCTCACATATCTCTCCCAAACTCTGCTTCTGTATCACCCACTCTCTCTGCAGCTGTTCATTCATATATTGGTGGGGGGTTGGTGATGGGTTGACATTATAAATACCATTTGTCAACAAGTTGTATTTAGTGTCTCTGACTCACACTGAGAGGTAAACATAGTCTGGTTTTCAGTAATGGCCCCATCCGGAAGAATTGGTGTTCCCAATGTTCTTTTGTCTTTATTGTCTCACATATGTTTCCTGTAAAACATTTGATTTGGCCAGTTTGCAGTTCAAAGACAGACTCAGAAACTATTGTACCAGCACAATAACCATTGTTTCTCTCAGTGACAAATCATCATGAACCACTTCATCTGTTTCTCATCCTGAAACTAGTCTCTTCATTTTCAACATCTTCAAAGAGAAAAGTCATTGTTTCATCCCCGGTGAACTCAATGGTGCATGCTGGCAGCACTTGCTAACATAAATGCCCGAGACTTCTTATAAAGAATGTATGTGGCTATTATCACAGTCCAATTCAATTTTATTAGACACAGTTGGAGGGTTTGTACACCAGTAGCACTGACGACGAAGTTGTTGGAGATAAACTTTGTAGGTGTTTGTTAATTCTTTATTTGACTTTATCTCTGTACTAGCTTTTGTTGACCGAAACTGCTGGGAAAGTCCATATCGTAAATGTGGGCCTAAAAGGAGGATGTCAATAAAAACATTTCTGCGCGAGGAAATCTAGGATAGTATTTGCTGATTTCTAGACCCTGAAAGGTCTGAAGTTGAAGTTAGATATTAAAGGTCTGGATATATCATGTAAACTCCAATTATAAAATGCTTAGAAACCTTGGTTAACCCAGAACAAGTGCTCCAAATGATTTTAAAAATGGTTCTACTTTCCCTGTCTTTTCCTCAGTACCACATCAACAAGCTGTCAATCATGTCTTCAGACAACCACATGAATAACAGTGAGAAGGAGGTGGACGAGGTGGACGCAGCCCTGTCAGACCTGGAAATCACCTTGGAAGGAGGGAAGACGTCCAACATACTGGTATGACGACACTCCCACATCTTCACATTCGTTACAGGAAATGGCTTTTGTTTGTGGATTACGTGTACTGGGCTCCAAACTCATTATGTGGATTTATTTTCCCAATTACAGAAGCTTGGCTCTGTTTGGTTTTGTCCTTTGTTTCTCTACTGTATTCTGAAAAAAGTGTCCTTTCATCAGCCCTGTTAAACCGGAGCGGAACCCTACATACAGTAGACTCTGTACACTCGCCGGGGGACGGGAAATGACAATTAATTTTTACTGGAAGGGCTACATTTGGCAGTTTTTTATGAGCTCTGCTACTGAAAGATTTGACACTTGAACAAACCCAACAAAGGGTGCATGTTAAATGGATATGAAACAAATATGTGTCTATTATTACAGCAGCCCTGCCTCAAGAATGTGTTACAGCTTATCAGAGGAAACTGAACTTTGAGATGTTACATAAGAATCTACAGCATACTGTACCGAGCAATGACATTGGAACTGTACAAAGTTGAGCTTGAGGTCATTCTTTTGTTTACACATAATATTAAAATCTTCCAAGTTTATACTAACAATGTTTTTTCTTTTTTTACTTCTTCCTAGGGTGACATCACATCTATTCCTGAGCTAGCAGACTATGTCAAAGTCTTCAAGTAAGTACATATACAGAGCTGCCTGATCCCATAAGAACTCCTGCACTGTCACAAAAGAAAATGGTCTATGAGTGGGTGCAGTGTCTCAGAGTACCAGGAAATAACATTTTCTGGATAAATGAGAAAGCTGTTTCCAATCAGCGTAATTGGTTGCATTGTTTGCCAAAGGACATTTACAAGCTGAGCTTTCAGTTTAGCTTTTCAAAGTGACTGCAGTTGGACCAAGCATACTTTTGAACCATATTCTCTTTTGGCTTTGAGCCTTTGCTGACAAGCAGGTGGCCCCTGGGGTGATTGTCTCATAAAATGTATAAACTATAAAGGGTGGGGTTTGGGGGCAGGGGGGGGATATCAAGAGGCATTTCTTCTTCTAATGGTTTGCCATTAATGCTCATGTCCAATGCTGGCTCCTTTCCTATTCTCCCTGCTGACTTTACCTTTTTTCCTCCTCTCTTTTTTGTACTCATTGTGTCCTCTCCTCCCCCACCCTGTTTCTTGAATAATAATAATAATAATAATAAAGAAAATGGGTGTTTTTTATTTTCCAGGCCCAAGAAACTGACACTGAAGGGCTATAAGCAGTACTGGTGCACGTTCAAGGATATCACCATTTCCTGTTACAAGAGTAAAGAGGAGTCACATGGGACACCTGCTCTCCAAATGAATCTCCGAGGTAGACACACGAAAGATGTCATGTCATGCCTATGCAAGAATGCAATGCTTTATTTTTCTGTCTAATGAATGGGTGTGACCTTTGAACTCTTCTTCCGCTCCGCTCAATGCTTAGGTTGTGAGGTAACTCCAGATGTTAACATCTCGGGTCAGAAATTCAACATCAAGCTGCTCATCCCTGTGGCGGATGGCATGAATGAGATCTGGCTTCGGTGCGACATGGTAAGACTAACTTGAACTCACAATATCTGATCATTTCCTGTCTTCTTCAACACCGTTTTTAATCATCAGCTTGTGACTCTCTTCTCCAGGAGAAACAGTACGCCCACTGGATGGCTGCATGTCGCTTGGCCTCCAAAGGAAAGACCATGGCCGACAGCTCTTACAACCTGGAGGTCCAGAACATTCTGTCCTTCCTCAAGATGCAACACATGAACCCTGACCCTCAGTTAATCGAGCCAATCACCACAGATATCAACCCAGAATGCCTGGTGTCCCCGCGCTATCTCAAGAAGTACAAGAACAAGCAGGTAAGCCAAGCAGTCTGTGGAGCTTAAACTCACAACCTCTGAAGTGATGAAGGTAGTTACAAAGAGACAGACATACGGAAGTCTACTATCTGTTCTAATGTGTGTTATTCGCGAGGTTGTTTACTTGTTTACTCGTCTCGCACTGGAATGTATCCTCCCTTTACTCCCCCTCCTAAACTCTCCTCCTCTTCCCCCCTCTGTCCGAGGGGAAACCAGGACAGCAGACGTCCAAACCACTCGACGTGTGTTACAGTAAAGATCCTCATGTCCGACTGTAATGGAGAATTTCTCTGCTCTTGTGGACAAAAGTCTCGAGATCTCAGCTGCTGCACTGCTTAATTAATCGGGCTATAAAACACGGTCGCTTCTAAACGTTATTATCGGCAAACATCTTATAACCAGGTGTGGAATGTACACACTAATAAGGATTGGACTATCTTCTAAGCGTTAGGGAAATGTTACAATGTGCCCAGCAGATTTGCATGTAAGCAACAGGCTGGTGTGTGTACATGGGACCAGCTGAGTACACGGCTGCCATGGCTGTGTTAATGGGGATTGGTGAGGAGGGTGAGGGGTGGGAGATGCTTCCTATTGCTTAGTCACTCAGTCTGGATTTGTTTAAATTGTAGCAGAAAAGTGGGGGGTTGATACGGTAAGTGATGACTCAGAAATGGTCTGGAATAACCTGGGTGTCTAAGGAGAGAGGTAGAGGGACAGATGCACACTTGTGCTTCATTTATTGTATACTTCTGTTATCCAGGAAACATGAGTATGACACCATTCTACTGAGCTCATGTTTAAACCATTCCCATGGGAGTGCTGTTTCAGGTTAATCTGAAGTCCACTTCCTAGAACATAACTGCTACAAATAAAGATGAACTCAAAGTTACACAAGTATCAAATAAAGTTTCACTTCTCTTTCTCATATTTCAAATGTTCTCTCTTTTATAGTAGTCAGGAAATCCCTTGTATATTTTGTTCAATAACATAAAATGAATTCAACATCCGTTACAAATGAGAGACCAATCCATGTTCAAGTGGCCATGAAACCAGGTCATGATGATGCACATCGAATCATTCAGACCAGCCAAGCCGTAGATTATTTTGGTGTGTTTTGGTCCTTGTTAACTTCTTACTGAGCTTCTGTTACATTAGTCTTTGGGTTTTTAATAAACCTCACTTTGATAAGTTGTATTTTATCTGGACAACTCATAATACTAATGTTTCCTTACCGTATTCTACTCTAAAAGACAGTGATCCTATAGCAGCTCATTAATGAAATCAAGATAAAAGAATAGGTATTTGCATGTAAGAACTGCTGCTGCCATGAACCACAGGCTTGCTATGAAAACCTCATGGGAGGTGTAGTTCACATAATATCTTCTTTTTTTTAATCTTTTCTAAATCATGAGCTGTTAGAATTTCACTGACCCATTTTCTTTAAATGTTCTTTTACAGACATTTTTTAGAACATAGGCAGATCATGTCTGTTTTTTGTTTCAAAATATCTCCATGGCTGGATTTGAGGCTCGCTCAGACGGAGAGCAGCAGGGTGTGTGTCCATCGGGGGGCCGGGGGTCTTTCTGCTCCGGCTCCAGTCTCACCCTTAATCCCAGTCTGATATGGGGTATCCCCAGGCACACAACATGAAAGAGCAGTGTTACATTTACAGTGTGTGTATGTACCTGTGCACACACACACACACACACACACACACACACACACACACACACACACACACACACACACACACACACACACACACACACACACACACACACACAGGTACTACTGTAGTGGGCGTGGGGCATCAGGAAATGAGCCGTGCCTGGGAATGCTGCGCGGGAAAACTGTCTGGGAAAAGCCCAGTTTGCTCTCAGTCAGCTGCTATAAACTTGACTTCCTGTTGCGAGACTGAACCCCGGAGACTTCCGTGCTGAAGCTCCCAGCGGATACACTTAGGAATCTTTAGAGTACATATCTATACAATTACACAAATAAACAGAGGATTAAAGACACAAGAATAAACTCCTGGAGTATGGAGATGTGGTAGTTTTACATTTTGGTGATTCTAATGTTCCTGCTTGGTGCATATGGCCATCCTGTGGATTAAAAGGGAGTTACAGGGAAGATGTGGTATTGTTTTATTAAACTATTCTGAAAATATGTTTCTAAAAAAAAAAACAGCCATTATGAAATGTACTGTTTCAACGGCTACTTCCCTGATGTCGAAACACACATGTTGTGTTCTCTCCTTTTTTCTCCTTTAAAATAAAAAAATCAACTGCTGCTGTTCTCTCTCCATCTTGTGGCTGAATTCTGCATGACCTCCACAGCCCACCTCTTTACTTTATTGCTTTTATTACAATTACAGCCTCCGACTTTATTGTTTTTGGATCTTTCCTCCCTGACATTGATCTTACTTGCTTGTTCTCTTTGTCTTATTTTTTTTCTTTCTTTTCTCTCTCCTTGTATGCTTCTCCTTCGTTCCTCTTTGCCTTCTCCCACCCCCTCCTCCCATCTCCAGCCAGGCTCTATCAGGGACTTGGTAAGTTGAGCTGTGTGTCCACTGGGTGCCTTTTGAGCTGTAGATACCTGTATGTGCATGTTTTGTAGAAGCTAAACACTTTTGTGTCCGTGTCTCCTCACCTAACCAAAAGTAGTGCAGCTGTCTAACATGTCTTAGTGGCTGGTACTTACAGTAGAATAGTTATAACCCTTAGATTATTTGTTTTGTCGTAACCTCTAATGTTTTCAGGGTGCCATAAAACAAGGAAATAACACATAATTGTATTGATATAATATATTTTGTATCAATCTGCATCCATGCATCTGAATTGTTTCCATCTTTCTTTAAATTACCAGTGAGTGATGTTGAAAAAACATAAACACGATTCAGTCAAATAAACGGACCGCACAGGTGCTTTTGCATGTTTTAGCCCATTTAACACCAGTGTTGTATAGCTAATATCCACCGTTTATCAAAACAGGTCATTTCTATATTAAGGGAAGCTTTACTGTGTTGTGGGTTATGCATTTCGCTCCATCTGTAAAATATGGAAACCAGAAACTTGCTGAATTCATTTATTTTGCATTTATTCTATTTGATGCAGTTGAAGTGGGACTGCTAAATGAAAGTTGCTTCTGAACACAAACAAAAAGATTCACCTCATCAATAATTCCTGACATTCAGGCAATCTATAGTTTGTTCTTCCAACTTTGCATTTGTCTAATGAAGCTCAACAGCATCATGGTAATTAGCAGATGACTGTAACAGGAGGGAGGTTCACTTTGATTGATTTAGGGCTGCACCAATTACTGCACTAATAGATTAGCTGAATGAAAAGGCTGTCCTTTTGATTTCATATGAAATAAATACCTTCGGGTTTGGACTGACAAAACAAGACATCAACACATCGCCTTGGGCTTTGCAAAATCAATCGAGACATTTAGCTTCTTTCTTACATTTCATTTTAAATGTATAGACCAAACAATTAATAGATTCATCTAGATAACGATCGATAGGTGCAGCCCTGACACTGATGTAGGGACAGTAGGGGAATACACACATGCATGCACACACTCACACACACACATTAACCTCAGCCTGGCTCCTCGGGGGGCTTGTTTTGTTTGTCTGTCATCTTGTAGCTGTGTGAAGTCCATTTTACTGTGACAGACCTCTTCTGATTGGCTGACACTGTGTGTGCTGCTGGCTTCATGGAATGAGCCACAGCTTGTTTACACACTGGGTGTTAGAGGATGTGGTTTAAGTGCAGTGATGGGATGCATTTGGCTGCTAAAATGGTGAGCTAGCTGAACTGTCTTGTGTGTGACGTGTGTGTGTGTGATTGTGTATTTGTCAGATTTCCACCCGGATCCTTGAAGCCCACCAGAACGTAGCCCAGATGAGTCTCATCGAGGCCAAGATGCGCTTCATCCAGGCGTGGCAGTCCCTTCCTGAGTTTGGAATGACTCATTTCCTTGCCAAGTAAGCTGACACCTAAATCTCCGTCCCCCCCTCTCTGTTTTATTAGCTGACAGTGACTCGTATTGTCATTTGATCTACACATTTTGATTTCACCGTGTTATCTCTCCTTCTTCTCTGCAGGTTCCAGGGGGGGAAGCGGGAGGAGCTGATCGGCATCACTTATAACCGTCTGATCCGCATGGATGCTAGCACTGGAGATGCTATTAAGACCTGGCGCTTCAGCAACATGAAGCAGTGGAACGTCAACTGGGAGATCAAGATGGTAGGAAACACATTGAATATGACCGGTTTATTGTAATGGGTTATTTTCACTGTTATTTGCAGCCGGTTCTCACTCAGTGTTGGCAGTAAATGTTTTCTCTTACGGGAAAGAGACAATATGTTCATTAATTTACTGTACATCATATTCATGTCTCCTCGCCAACCTAGGTCTATTATGTTTCAGCTCTGTCAGTCTGTACCATTAGCATCAAGGTCAACTCTCAGGAAGCTCTGGAGGGAATACAAAAAACAAACAATGGGACTTGGACCCAAGGGTGAACGACGTCTTAAAGTATTTCTGATTCTACTTTCGTGGCCAAAGTCACTGTGAGCTCACAAAACGCTGCATTAGCCACAACTCAATAATTCAAATGTCAATTAGGACAATTTTAGACTAATGTTTAATAGGATCTTGAGTGGTTCCTGGCGACATTATTTTATGTTGTAGTCCAGAATTTTAACATTTTGTACTGTTAGTGAAGCAAATAAGATATTTTAATTAAACCTAAAAGTGGACAAAGTCACTGTAAGCTCACAAAATGCTGCATTAGCCACAACTCAATAATTCAAATGTCAATTAGGACAATTTTAGAGAAATGTTTAATTCGATAAAATGAGAAAATCATGACATTTGGAGATAAATACATGTAAACTGCAACTTGAGTGGTTGCTGGAGGGACTACTTTTTTTAAGGTTTTGGACTGTTGGTGAAGTAGTTTTGCATGTTTTCATTGTAGCCTGACTGATGTGTTTGCTCTGTGCTCAGGTGACGGTGGAGTTTGCAGACGAGCCCAGTCTGTCCTTCATCTGCGCCGAGGTGGACTGCAAGGTGGTGCACGAGTTCATCGGGGGCTACATCTTCCTGTCCACACGCGCCAAGGACCAGAACGAGTCTCTAGACGAGGAGATGTTCTATAAGCTGACCAGCGGCTGGGTCTGAGCGGCCCCCAACCACCAGGCCAGGGGCCAACCATTGTAGGTCAGGGGCCAGGAGGGGAGTGGCTGGGGGGGAACCACAGTGTATGGGGTTTATTTTAATTCTAACTATTTCTCAGTCTGTTTGAATGTTTGGAGCTGTGCTGGAGAGTCCAGAACAGCGCCAACATTGCCACGGCTGATTTTATTGTTATAGTGTTTCTTTGCATAAACGCTGACCAGGGCTTTGTTACAACACTAACTCTCTGGTGAACGCAGGCCAGATTATAAACGTTTGAAGGTAACCTCCAGTGGTTGAGCGGTAGCCTTACACACACCTGAAGCAGGAAGTGTTCTCCTCTCCTCCTGGACTGACGGCCATCAACATTACGTCCATGACAACCCTTTAAAGCCAATCAAACGCCACATTGAATCCCAAAGATGTTTTTTTCTCTTCACTTTTTCTCTCCCTGCCTTTTCTCCTAATAACTGAGCTAAAGAAGCTGACATCAGACTGTCATTAAAACATTTGTAATCCTAGTGCCACAGATAGCTACAGTTATATCGAATTATTTATCCTAAAAGACGGACTTCTTCTAAGTCCGAACAAAAGGCACTACATGTCCATCCTATCACTCTACGAAGGGTTAATCTCTTTAAGTCACATTTAAGCACTTCTACAGTATACAGTCCTGTTCATGAATAAGCTGTTGTTGAATTTCTTTTTGCTTTTGATGTCCTTGTGTTTGTTTTTGAACTCGCCCAGAGGGTCGAGTCTCTGTAATGAATTCTTGTTGTATTAGCTGACAGGTGTGACATTGAGAGGTTTGTTTTGTATTTAATAAACTGCTAATAGTGAGCATGTCTGGAGACACACTACAGTACAGCGCACTGGGATGAGGGTCCTGTGGGTTTAGAAATCTTTAAAGAGATGTAAATGTCCTAAAATTCACTTTAGTGTTCAGTAAATCTAAAAGTTTTCTGAAAACAAGCTTTTAAACAAATGTGTTAGTCGGTATGTTGAGCTAAGGTAGATTACTAAAGGTTGTGTATTTCAAATGTGTCTCTTGCTCATGTTTTAAAAAATATTGGAAGGCTCAACATGAAGCTACATGACCTGAAGATATTAATTATCATTTAAGGCAGACCCCTTTTTTTAAATTAAGGAGTTTTCTTATGACCTGGCATGAAAAAAAACAATATGGCGTCTACATTTTGCCACATCTCAACATCCTGTTTTGAATTGTATCCAGATTTCTAAACCCCTGGCATCTCATCACGTGCACTACATAACAGGAGGAATCATAACTCCCTTTACCACCTTTTACCTTATTGCCATTTTGTCTCTCACACCATATAGTATTATTATCATTACACACCAGCAACAGGTCACAGAGTTTGAAGAGTGAATATGCAACGCTTTCTTTTCTTCTGTCCTCAGTATGAAGGATCGGTAAATGAAGTATTATTTTTTTGTAACTAATGTAAAAACACAAACATTTTATAGAATTGTACAGTTTGTTTCTGCTGTGGGGGGTTTGGAAGTCTTTCCTTTCAGAGATGAGGGGGAAAGCCGCCCGTCAACATGTGTAGTATTCAGAATTGTGCCTACTTACGTTGTGTCCTTACTGAGTATCCAGATGAAGATAAATATGAATATATATGAAGATAACACTAGTCTCAAACTCCAGGTTTGATTAAAATATTTGTCAAGTACATATTATAATTTTTTTTTAAACAAATACGTATGCCTTTTCAATGTGCTCTTCATTTCTTGCATTTCTGCTTCATTTTTATTGATTTTCTGCTTTTCGTTTCTGTCCATTTGCAGCCCTGGGTTGTGTTTTTAGCTCATTCTTTAGACTAACCGTGATACTTATATCGTGCAAATTAAGTTTTCTCAGCGCCTTTTTAAAACACTTCACTTATTCGTCTGTTTTCGTCACAACTGAAGTGTGCCATTTAATAATGTCCATATGAAGGAGACCCTGGAGTTTGAGACAAATCAGCATAAGTGAACAGAGGTAAGAGAAAAGCAAGCCTAGTCTGTTTTTATTTTCTCTGATGTTGTTTTAGTTTGCCTCCAGTGTCGGCAGCAGCGGTGCATGTCCTGCTGCTCTGTTTTCTGACTGTAAAAAATGCATTTATTTTAAAAAATAAAGTAATTTTTATTTAATTAGTGTTTCTACTTTTCATTTACCCTTACAAAGAACAATGTGTCAGTGTTGTGACACCCAAACGCATTCCCAGTAAATCCTGAAAAAGGCGGGTTTTTTAGGCTTGGTAATTTCTTTAAAGGAATAGGCACTGGGGTTTGGGGCAAATGTTACTGTTACATTTGTTGTGGTGTATTTTTGCCTCGATACATATTTGGTGTGCTAGTGAGTTATGGCAGTGGGTGAGTGTGGGTGTCCATAAAGGGACAACCAGAGCAACGCTGGGTTTTTTTGGGACACAGTTTAAAGTAATTTGTGGGATCACTTTATTGTTGGATTTGGTCTTTTCATGGGTTTTGTTAACTGTAGGAAATCCCTAATGGCCAGCCTCTTCCTTTATAAGGTTCTCTTCAAGCTCATGGTTTATTAGGAGGAAGTGTAATGTGACTCAACACCTTGGTCTCGAAGGCCTCTTCAGTGTGGAGGAAATGAGAAGCCTGTGGAAAAAGTGCTCATATCTCCTAAGGGTCCTTAGTGCTCTTCTGAGATTTTGAAATGCGTCATCAGATCTACCGCAGTAAAACTCTCAGAAGTGTAGTAACTGCACTGAATCTGATACTAAACAAGAAGCTAACACATTTACAAACAAATGAACACTTATGCTACAGATTTACCTTGTATGATTATTCAGCCTTACATTAAGTCTGCATATGGTAGCAATGTAGGCTAACATCAAGAATGGTTAGAGATTCATAACATACAGTAATGACGAACAACTATTAACCAGCAGGCTGATAGGTTTGTAATGTTTACACAAATTAAAAGACCTTACCAAAGGAAAATAAATGAAGTGTTGGAATGTGCACTGGTTCTGCTTCCCCACTAGAGGGCAGTGCCCAACCACCTGTCCTCCCTAACTCTCCACCGCAGTCGCCTGCTCAGTGCATCACAAACTTTTCAAAGATGTTTCCATTCCCAAATCTGACAAGTTTACCCAGCATCCCAGCAGAAAACCGAGTGGCAGACTGAGGAGGAGATTAGATGAGAGAACGCCTGCAGAAAGTCTGTTTTCTTTGGAGACACGTCCATCTGTCACCTGCCGAGCAGCTGGGGGACGGAGGTGTTGGTGGCTATGATGACAGCTTTGGAGCTGCTCACACCACCTGATGTCCACAGTATGCACCAGGAGGGAGGCAATGGGAAGATGATGATAGTGAGCACAGACCATAAGGTGACAGTTTAAAGGTCCCCTATTATAATGTTTTTTTATCAATATATTATAGGTCTCAGATATATATATAAAAAAAACATGTCTCTGAAGTGTTTGGCTCGAAATACCAAACAGATCATGCATTGTAGCATCCCATAAACCCCTCTGTTTCAGCCCTGTTTCAAAAGTGCTGGAGAGAGGTCTGTTACTTTAGATGAAAAGAAGGAGCCACTCCCCACGCCCGTCTGAGAGCTATTTGGTTAAAAAGAACACAATGGTGCTCTAGGTTTAGCATGGTTTAGGCCCAAAATACATTTCTGACCTCCTGCTAAATGATGAACCATCCAGATCTCTCAGGTCTTCAGGGACTGGTCAGCTTTCTGTCCCCAGAGTCAGAACTAAATATGGAGAAGCAGCGTTCAGTTATTATGCTCCAAATATCTGGAACCAACTCCCAGAAACCTGCAGGTCAGCTGCAACTCTGACTACTTTTAAATCCAGGCTGAAGACTTTTCTTTTTGTCTCTGCTTTTAATTGAACTATTCATATCTTAGACTGCACTGTAACTTTTATCCATGTACTTTTTCTTTTAATGTTTAATTGAACTATTCATATCTTAGACTGCACTGTAACTTTTATCCATGTATTTTTTTCTTTTAATGTTTATTTTATTAGCTTTTCTTTTTAATGACTGATTTTAAATGCCATTTTCCTAATGTCTTTCATTTTTTGTAAAGCACTTTGAATTGCCTTGTGTTGAAAAGTGCTATATAAATAGCCTTGCCTTGCCTTGCCTTGCCTTGCCTAGCCTAGCCTAGGAAGAGATTCAGGTGATAAGGTGGTGGTGGTGGTGTGGGGGGGTACCTTGGTTGGTGATTGGCTAATGGTTACACAAGCCAAAAAAATCGTGATGACATAAAGTGGCCAAAATCTGATCATCTTATTTTCAGACAGGTTTTTATATAAATGGATCAGGACAAAAAGTGAGTGAATCTTTTATTCCTGAAACGTTCCGAATCTCTTTACACAGAGGGGACACGTGTTTATGTATACAAGACATGAAAAAGTGGATTTTGCACAATAGGTGACCTTTAAAGGTGGGACAATTGCTTGATGAGGTTAGAAAGAAGAAACAAAGCAACTATAAGGCATAATCAAACAGTTTTTCATTGCAATCGAAATATAATGTAGTGCAATACAATCATCTCGTCTCTGGTTGGTGCGATAAAAACCTTCAGACCCTCCAGCTTTGATGATATATTCTTTAAATCGGAAATCTCTATCTAATAATTCAGCTTTACAGTAGATCTCTATAGCAATCAACCCTGAAGTATCGTAGCATTAGTCTGACGCTGCATTTCAACAGCCCATGAGCCTGAATCCACCCTCAAGTCAATTGTGTGATCAGATGAGGTGTGCAGCATGCAGTGGGAACAATGAATCAAATCCTGCTAGGACATCCTGTTCTGGTACATTATCGTCACAATCCAACGCTTATCTTACAGTTTTAAATGCACTAACTTCCACAAAAGCTTCTGAAGCACTCACAGGATCATGTAGATGGGTTTCAAACATGGAAGCATACCCTTATATAACTATTCTAATGCGGCCTCTGATGTTCCCCATATAGCTCATATCCAAGAGGGATCTGGGCTATTGTGTTCGATGTGAGTATGGGAAGTAATGACGTCTAAAAGCTCCACTTAGTGACGTGGAATTCCTCCGAACCCTTGGGAGGATGAGTTGGATGACTTGAGGATGACATTTATAGATTGTGCTTCAAGCAAACAATTGATATAAAGGAAGTGTAAACTTAAAAGAAGTAGAGCAATGGAAATGTGAGGAGTTGCACCTGTTGCCATTCAACACGGCAGCTTCCTGCTTGAGCCAGCAAAGTTCAGTTTCAAGGGAGGACTGCTCTGCTTTCCTCATTCCTGAAGTTCACAGCTGGTAAAAGTCATTCTTAATGGCATTTCTTTAAAGGAGAGTGGTTCTGACATTCACTCCCATCGCCTGCGGTAGGCGCTACAGAGAATGTCAGCCATGACAGCACAGGTGTTGATAAGCTGTTTTCAGGTATGCCTTGAAATATTCTTGAAGGAAACTCTTTGTTCTCTTCAGGCCTGTGTGTTGACCTTGTCTAGATCCATTGTGTTATCTCTTTTTCTAAATGCTGAGGACAGCTGTCAAGAAGTAATTGTCATGATGGTGGCTGGAGGTTAAACTACTTTCTGCCAAGATGATAGAAAGTGAGGAGTTTCGCAGGCCACGCCATGAATGGTTATTCTTTGTCACAAGAAGATAAATGATACTGACTTTTCCTTTCCCCTGACTTTTAATCCAGCGCAATAAACAGATCGACATGTCCCGACCACTGTTTTGAGTTTTTTTACAGACATTCATTGTCCCAAGAGGATACATCCTAGTGGACTTTGAGTTTTCATCTAGTGCCATCAGCATCAGGACTGAGTTTTCATGTATCCAGTGAAATATCTCATTTTACGTACATGTGCCCCCGATGATAAATCCTCATAATGTTGGTAAACCCCTGACCTTACCTCCTACGGCACCATTCGATTTTTTGTGAAAACAGGATTGGATGTTGACATTTAGTACCCCTCCCAAACTAAGATCACAATAGCATTTCATTGTTAACATGTTGGCATTTAGCTCAAGGCCCAACACTGGGCTTATATAAAGCCTCACAGAGCAGTTAGCATGGCTCTGAACGTGTAGTCTTGAAAAACATGTTCATAATATATTCTCATATATTTTTTAATCAAAGCCATACATTAACTTTGCATAATTGAGAGCCTTGAATATTTGGGATGTAAATCAACAAAATATGGCTTAATCTTTAATCACTAAGCAGTCTGATGTGTTTCCACTGTGTGTGCTGCATTCCCTTCTGCGATGTATGCAAGCCAAACCATTTTATAAACCCACACCGCACAGCAACACTATTTTCCCTCTTTGCTCAGCATAATGAAAAGTACTTCTCCTTAAAAAGAAGAAGGGATGCAAACAATGTATAATTCATATGTTTCATTTCTCCTTTTCATAAATGTATACTATGCAAAACAACACAGAAGTGGCCTTTATTGGTTTATATGCTTTTGGATTCACATATTAAAACATGAAATCCCCCCTAAAAAGAACTCACATGTTATTCCCATTAACTGGAACGCTTCAGTCTACATACGTTTCCATGGAAAAGGCCCGGTCTGAGCTAAACACTGAAGTGCCAAGACTTTTATCTTGATGTCATCAATTACACTCTGCTAAACTCAGTTTAAAGGCTCTAGAACAGGGGTGTCAAACTCAAATACACAGTGGGCCAAAATTATAAAATGGGTACTAGTCGAGGGCCGGACTGGTTCAATGTTTATTGCAAAGCGTATTGAAATGAACTTATTGCACATATTAAACCTGGAACTAACAAAGCTTAAATTATTGCCTATAAAAACAACATTAAACATTAAATAATCAGTTGCATTCATTTCTTATGGCTCTATCTACAGAGTCATTTCTTATGACTACATTTTTCTACAGGCCAACAACAGCTTCAAAAAAACTATTCCCCTCAAAGAAAAACCCAAACATGCCCTGTTGTTGCAGAAGGAAACATCCATTGAAACTCAGTTTGCTGCTCTGTGATGCCAGTTCAAGCCAGACACTTGGCATCTCATCTTGGGTACAAGTTCGTCAATGTTTGGGGTCAGGCTCTGAGCTGAGGAAACCCTTAGGGTTGAGTGAAGGTGTGCGTGCAATATACCGGTGGGCCAGATCTAATAGTAATTAGAATTTATC